AGGTTCCATTGCCGCCGTTTTAACCGTTCTCTTTGTCTCACTTCTTTCACTTCAAGAATGTAACTTGATTTTTAATGAAATGAAAAAAATTGACTTCTTATTTCAAGAATCTTATATTTACTATATTTCAGTATTTGAATATTGAAAACTGTTTTAGATTTAACTTCTCATTGGATTTCCCATGATTCTAATTAGATTTTTCAAATTGTAAAAAGATTAAGAATGAAATTTGTTATTTGTAATTTTGTTTTTTAATAATTTGGAGAGGTTCCATTGCCGCCGTTTTAACCGTTCTCTTTGTCTCACTTGTTTCACTTCAAGAATGTAACTTGATTTTTAATTAAATGAAAAAAATTGACGTCTTATTTCAAGAATCTTAAATTTACAATATTTCAGTATTTGAATATTAAAAACTGTTTTCGATTTAACTTCTCATTAGATTTCCCATGATTTTAATTAAATTTTTCAAATTGTAAAATGATTGAGAATGAAATTTCTTATTTGTAGTTTTGTTTTTTAATAATTTGGAGAGGTTCCATTGCTGCCGTTTTAACCGTTCTCTTTGTCTCCCCGGAGACCGTTTCAACACTTTATTATTCTCGACCATACGGTGTTGCGTTCGCAACGTAAGTGGACGAAGAACAAGAAGAAAAAGAAGAAGTAGAGGGAACAGCACCCGTGAAATACGACACCGACGACCGCTACAAACTATTTGCGCATAATGTAGTATGTGTAGAGAGAGCGAGAGTAGTTTTCTAGTCTTTGGCCTCGCGGATGAAATGGGAAGAAACGGCTAGAAGAAACTTAATGGAAATATTTGCAAATTTCAATTAAAAAATTCATTCATTTTCTATACTATTATATTGTGTGTCTAGATATATTTTATAATATATAATCCTCTGAAGTCTTCAATTCGCACGTCTCACTCGAAAATCTCTCTTTGAAACGTAAACTGCTAATCTTTCCGCTTTGCTTTTCGATCTTCTCTCTTTTTCTTTCGCCTCTGTAGGCTTCTCCGATATTATGTATATATATATATAATATGTTGGATCGAGGCCGCGTGTGGCCTGGCGCATCCGGTGTGTTTTTAGTCGCGATGGGGGGATCAAAAAGGGGAGGTTGGCGGGTAGGGGGTGGGTCAGCCCCGACCGGGTGCATTATTTATGGAAATATCGATTTTCCCGACGCCGTATTGCGCGAGACCACCGCTCTCCGAAGCCCCTCTCCCAATGCAACTGTACTATATAGTATGTATTAGTATAGAATTGGTGGTAGTACTAATCACCACCTCTGTGAAGTACTGCACGTATTATTTATATTATCCTGCCTCGACTAGACCTGTTCTTTCCGAAAATAGATCACATCGATTCGTAGCCTACTTTGTCACTGCTTAAAATTACATACTGTTTTCGATGTTTTTATATAACTGTTCACTTGTCAATGCACATTTAAACACAAATTTTCATAAAAATTGATTGACAACAAATCAGGTTCATTTTTTTGTTTCTTTGTTTAAAGTTAACTTTTAATTTGAAACTCATTTAGATCATTGATGTAGAAAATATAAAATTATGCCAGTACTAATTTTTGTACAAAAAAAACGTATGATTGTATAGGTTTAAGTAATTGCTCTCAAACAAATGTGCTTCTATCCTACAATGTTATTATTTTTTTTTTTTAATACTCATCAAATCTAACCCTTAAACTGCATGCTGAAAGAGCTTAGGCTTAAGCAGTATGAATACTATGTAAAATTCAAACATGTAAACCACTTTATATAAGAATAAAAACATTTGAAACCTTTAGTTGATATCACAATCATTTTCAATATAAAGCAGCATTAAACATGTTCATAATTTAAAAAAAAAGCTTAATTTTGTAGACTGATTATTAATAAACTTCTCAAGTTTAGTTTTTTTTTTTGTAAAATATTTATCAATTTAATTTCTTAGAGCAATTACTTAAACCTATACAATCATACGTTTTTTGTACAAAAATTAGTACTGGCATAATTTTATATTTTCTACATCAATGATCTAAATGAGTTTAAAATTAAAAGTTAACTTTAAACAAAGAAACAAAAAAATGTATTGATTTGTTGTCAATCAATTTTTATAAAAATTTGTAAAATTTGTGTTTAGATGTGCATTGACAAGTGTTAATAAACTTCTCAAGTTTAGTTTTTTTTTTGTAAAGTATTTATCAATTTAATTTCTT